CCAATTAAAGCAGTCAAATGAACGTGATCACGGCTGGTTGCTTACTGACGCTTCGTTGGACGCTCAACCAGCCAGCCGCTGCTGCCTCTCATTCCAAGGAAATCATTCTGATTTGTATGGATAGTGACTGTAGTTGTGACGATATTACGATTTATGTTATGTAATAACATTTGTTATGCAATAATGTAAAGCATAAAAAAATACCTATTAAAAAAGTTAATTATCCCAATAACATGAATCTTTCTCATAAAGTAATTTCAGCGACAACAGGACAAACTGCAAATAATTGAATTAATTGAATAAAAGAAAGACAACTTAAAATTGTAAAATCACGGAGCACAGACTGTATCAGAAGACTATTTAGATAAAGACTATTTACAAATAAAAACAAGAAAAAAAACTATTTACAAATAAAATATAAGAACATATATATATATATATATATATTTTGCTTGTAGCACTTAAAACTGTTATTCCACACAGTATCCAGCAACAAAGGCCATTTCCGCTTAGAATCTGTGGAACCCCTCTGTCTTTCTGAGAATCAGAATGGATATCTATAATCAAGTAAAAACACAATCATTACAACTGTATCACATAAATTGTGCATTAAATGTAGAATTGATAACTGCATAATTAACACACTATATTTAAAATATAATTAGCTCTTGAATTATTAATGTCTTCTTCACAAAACGTAAGGTTGTCATGACTTCCGTAACATAAGAAACGCTTGATGAATCTTTTATTTTCAATGCCAAAACACTGAATACTTTGTCAATGATTCCATCAGTCTATGACAAACAACAATGCAAATATTTCACTTATTAGTGTTTCAAATAAATCCAGCATCTAATAATTTAATTACATTCCAATAGTTTCAGATTATAATGAATGATAAGATATTGAGAATCTTTGGTGTAACAGTACTATGAAGATTCAAGATTCAAGATTTTTATTTGTCACATACATAAAGCTATAAAAATAAGTAATTGTGGTATGTTATTGTACCTGTTCTTCGTCAAACACTGAGATACGTAGTTTGCACAGATTTTTCAGTGTGGGTGCATAATTCGGATGCTTGTGTAAAAACATTCTTTGTGATTTCACTGCACCAGATGTGAGGTCATGATGGAGTTTCTACAAAAGAAAAAAGTTGTTTTACAGCACAATATTACTATTTATCAATGTGCTACATATGTTAATCTTGATATTCTTATGTGTCATACAGCGCATGTATATGTGCCATTTTATTTTTTCAGGTTTTCATAACACTTACCACAATTTCTTCATTATTCACAACTGTGTCGACCAAAAGCCCGTTTGATGTGTGGATGCAGAGCTCTTAAAACAAACATTATTGTAATTTTAACAGCAGCAAAATTCAATTACACCAAAATTTGCATATGCCACAGTACTTACTTATACCTGTGTTTTGATAAATGCAGGCTTTTATGTCCTGGGCTATGCAGTTGTTGGTCTCTATTTCGCTTTCCTCTGTTTCTCCAATTGCAGTCGGAAAGTCCTGTCCAGCTGTACATATGAATTGTAATATTCTCTTTTTGTCAAATTTGATTGAAACTCTTAATTCCTATTTCTCTTACTTCAGTTGTCACATCTTTCAACATGCTTGTGGCATGGTAAACACGTAGGTGTACTAGCTGACATGTTTGAAGCACTTCAGATGACATTTTCATATTTTTTGCTTCCATTTCTGCTGCCTTTAAAACAAAAAAGCATTGTTGTTCACAGCCCAAAACAACACATTTACATTGAAAACATTTTTATAGTGAAGTGAGAAATAAACTTAACAGTGCACACAAATACCCCACAGTTCACACAGTCTTGCTTCCACTGTTCTGGATTCCAAACAGTCCAGCCGTCCAGTGACCCATGTTTTTGGAAAGCCTCTCTATACAGATTTTAGATTAAAACAGAGCTCACCCATCATGCATCTTTCACCTTTTCTATGTATTATTAATATCATGTTTTTAGAATAATTTATGTTTTTATAAAAGACTTGGTGAAGATGAGAAATGTATTACCTTAGAATCTCCATGTCATTCCTTTTTATAGAATTGTAGATCCTCATTGAATCATAAATATGCACTTGTTTTGCAAGGGCATCAAAAACCTGTGAAATTATCCTCTGAAAAGTTACAGTCAGCATAACAAGACAGTGTTACAGCACTATAACCAGTTTC